GACATGATCGACGTAGAATTGTGCTCTGCGTACGGCTAGAAGGGAGCATGACTTAGCTGGAAGTAGCGGCATAGCTTGCAATGGCCTTATACATCTCAGTAAATATCAGGGGCCGTAAGGTTTGGGCGGTTCAGGGTGCTGATGTGCTGCCTGAAATTACAATCCTTATGAAGATGCTTCAAGAACTTGGTATATGGTGGGACTACTAGAACCCGGCAGCATCTCCATAGGGGCAGCTCAAGACGAGGAGAAGTATCTCAAGGACAGCAGATTGCCCCATGGGCGGCTTAGTGGGCCTTTGGCTTTCGGCGAGTTGCAGATGTGCAGGCTACCCTTTCTCTGGCCCGCCCAAAGCCTTCAACAGTCAGACGATTCTAAACCACGGCAACCAATAGTAGACTATCTAGCCATTCCGACCCCTGCAACAAATTGAAGAGCCAAAAACAGCAAAACACAGTATACCATATAGTAACATAGTAGTTTGGGCCTCTTTCAATACAACAAGAAGATAGTCAAATGTAGGGCCCCAAAAAGCACACTAGCAAAACTTAGGTATCATGAAGCCCAATAAGATAGGGATATCCCCATAAACTGCTTATGCCTTATGTGCTTTTTGGGTCCCAAATAACCCTACACCCTAGACCTTGAACCCTAAACCCTAAATAGCATAATTCAAGCCCCTTTCATGTTGGGGGTTTCCGAAAATAGTGGTACCCGCCCTAATATGGTACCCTAAATAGTAGGATCCTCATTATGAGGACCCAAATAAGGTACCCCAATTATCGGAAACTCCCATCGAAAGGGCCCTCCAACCCTTGCAGAGGCAGCGACTTGCGGGTTGCATTGTCGCGGCAGACACGGCAGGACCTGAGCCGCTGTCCGGTTCGGACTTCAGCGCTGGGTTTGGGGGTTGTAGGGTTCAAGGTTTAGGGTTTGGGGGGTTGAAGTTTTTTTTTTGAACTCCTTTTTACGCCTGCTCGATCCTCTCAAGCCGACATAAGGCGCGAAAGTTTAGGGTTCGGGGTTGAGGGCTCAGGGTTAGTGTTTTGGGGTTCAAGGTTTAGGGCTTAAGGTCCAGGGTTTAGGGTCTAGCGATCAAGGTTTAGGGGTTAGGGTTGAAGGTTTAGGGTTTAGGGTCTAGGGCTTTGGGGTTGAAGGTTGGGGTTTAGGGTTTTGGGGTTCGCGGTTTAGGGGTGGGGGGTGGAGGTTTCGCGTTTGGGGGTTCAAGGTTATTTAGGGTTGAGGGAGTTTAAAGAGTAGATTTACGATTTCGGGTAAGGGCTGCCAGTTTCAAGTATTCATCCTCAAACTCAAGTAACATCTGCATGTGCGCGTGAGTGTAAGCGCCCTTGCTGCCTTTGCTCTCTTGTATTTTCGTGCATAAGCATCACCAAAGTCATGCTTATTGTACTCACCACATGGTCTTCGTCAAACTCGTCGTACTTATCTTCTTCGTTTTGATGGTCGTCATCATCATCATCATCATCATCGACATCACCACCATCATCACCATCATGCTCATCTTCATCATCTTCGCCTTCATCGTCCTTATACCAACATCATGTGAACGAAGTCTCTTTTCAGTTGCTGACTCAGCCTTCAGGACCCCTCGAAATTTGGGTTCAAGGTGGCTGTCTTGCGCACAAAGTCGGGCAATGCGGCAAGCCTTTAGCGACACTGAGCACCGCACGCGACGTTGCCAGCTGAACTGAATGCTTCGTACAGTGTGGCCTGTCGAGAACGGCCAAGGATTTAGGCGGTTCAGCGGGGTTTAGGGATGTAGGGACCCAGAGACTCCAATATCCCTTAATTAAGGAATATACCTTAAATTCTAGTAGGATCCCTAGGAGGATTTATGGAATATTCCTTAATTAAGGGATATTGGAGTCTCTTGGGATGGGGGGCCTGTTGATCGGGTGTTAGTGATTCTGACTTCAAGACTGATGTCCTTTCAGGGCTTATGACTGCGGCTTTAGCGCATAGCTTCGGGCTCGTCGTTTAGGTTTTTCGGGTTGAGGGTTATAACACAACTTAAACCCCAAAACCCTGAAGCCCTAAGCCCTAAAACCCTAAAACCCTAAAACCCAAATTAAACCCTAAAACCCAGAAGCCCTAAGCCCTAAACTCTAAAACCCTAAACCCTAATTAAGCCCTAAAACCCAGAAGCCCTAAGCCCTAAACCCTAAAACCCTAAACCCTAATTAAACCCTAAAACCCAGAAGCCCTAAGCCCTAAACTCTAAAACCGTAAACCCTAATTAAACCCTAAAACCCAGAAGCCCTAAGCCCTAAAACCCTAAAACCCTAAAGCCCTAATTAAACCCTAAAACCCAGAAGCCCTAAGCCCTAAACTCTAAAACCCTAAACCCTAGTTATACCCTAAAACCCTGAAGCCCCAAACCGGACTCTGCAGACGGCAGGCCAGAGACCTCAAGGGTTCGCAGTTCAAGCTTCCAAGAGACTCCACTATCCCTTAATTAAGGAACATTCCTTAAATCTCATTAGGGATCCTAGTATAATTTAAGGAATATTCCTTAAACCATACTAGGGATCCTACTATAATTTAAGGTATATTCCTTCATTTTAGGGATATTGGAGTCTCTGGGTTGTCTGAGGTTTAGAGCTTCCGTGGGTTTAGGGTATAGGACTCTAGGGCTTCGGGGAGTAGTGCTTAGGGTGTATGGTGTAGAGTGTAAAAGCTCTCTTTACCAGTCTTATTACAACGCGCCAGGGCCTTGTTCGCGCGCGTGCCTTTGTGTGCATGTTGCAACTTCATTGGCCCTGCCAGTGAATTCGCGGTGTTGGGCCACTGAAGAATCTCAGAAAAAGCGCTTTATTTTTTCCCCTTCAGGCAAAGAGCCCGTCAGCGTCGTGCAGCACGTCATGCATGCTCTGGTGATCGAATGCTCTAGGAACACGAACGTTATCATGGTTTGGCCATGGATGCTCTGGTGATCGGATGTGCAGGAAATGCTGCATACAGCAGTACTTCTGCACCCTGTAGAAGCAAAAATGCCTGAATCCACTGCGTCTGCCAGCAAGTTTGCAAGGCTGAACCCATCGCAAGTTGCGCGCGAACAGGGCTCTGGAGGGTATAACAAGGATCTGAATCTCGAAGCCCTTAAAATCGAGGCTGCATTAGTCAGGGGCCTACATAATCACACCCACTTACCATTCAGAAGTTGACTGTCACGGGACTGGTCTTGTGTAGAGAGTTGTTGGGATTTTCGAGACTCTAGAGCCCTGAAGCTCAACACCCCTCAATCACTAACGCTACTGTAGCTACATGTTGGTTCTTCTAGACGCCTGGCTGGGTGTTCAAAAGCGCCCCCAAAAGTCTTTGTAGTTAAGGTTGTATATTAGACCAACACGGGAAACTATAGCACAAATCGGTACCTAGTATACAAATGAGCCCATATAACAACCCTCATAGACCCCTTTTGCACAAATGCCCCAAATTCTCAAACCCTAAACCCCAAACCCAACTGCAGGCCGCATCGGACGACGCTTTTCATGCCGCGCTCAAGCCAACAGCTGGTCCTCCGACCCTGCCGTCGCCATCTTCACGGCCACTTTGCCTCCCAGGGCTGAAGTATCTTGAAGGTTGCCTTGGGTTTAGGGTTTAGGGTATAGGGATTGAGGGTTTAGGGTGTGGGGTTTGCAGGTTTAATTTCGGAGAGTTTAGGGTTTGAGGGTTTAGGGTTTGCAGGGATTAATTTCGCAGAGTTTAGGGTTTAAGGTTTGGGGTTTGCAGGGTTTAATTTCGCAGAGTTTAGGGTTTAAGGTTTAGGGTTTTAGGGCTTAGGGTTTGCAGGGTTTAAGTAGGGCTGAACTATGGGGTCCCGGCTCGGTTACCATTCAAACTACTCTGTTTAGACAGAGCTGCGAAGCGTACGATCTTGCGATGATCCTGTGCCCGAAACTCTAAACTTCTGCACCAGCACCCGTCCTCGGGCTGTGGCACAGGTATTCTGATTCTAGGCCTAGAGAGACCCTAGACTCGAAATCTTTTTGAAACCTAAGTACCAGAATCGTAGAGCTGAAACCCTAAACTCAAAGCCGGGTTGAACGGTTGAACGCTACTAGATCCTAAAATCCCAAGAAGAAACTCTGAACTCGAATTTGGGTTGAAGGCAAACGCGCCGGGTCTGGTTAAGCGGTTTAGGGATTTGGGGTTTCTGGTTTTGAGCCACGGGCAGAGGAGCCGGACGTTCTGACTTAAGGTTTCTCTTTGCTTGGCAAGTTGCCGGTGGTGTGTCCGGAAAGCGATTGGTTGAAAGCTTTCACCTCAGGCGCAGGGCCTAAACCTTAAATCCGCTAGCCCCAGGACCCCTAACCCATAGAACCGTCCGAACGAAAACCTCAACCCTTCATCCTAAAGCCATCCGAAGGCCGCCGAAGGTCGATATCTTCCAAGCCAAACACCTGGTCGATGTGCACTTTCCTCGGCTGGTTGTTTTATTTACCGTTTCGGGTTTGGGTTTAGGGTTCGGGGTTTGGGGATCCGTTTCGGGTTTAGGGTTATTGTCCAGGCTGTAGGTTTTGGCTCAATGTATACTAGAGGGTAGTTAGTGTCGGTTAGTGTTCAGGTTTTCGGTTTAGTCAAGTCTTCCTAATTGCACCGAACATAAGTGCTGTGAGCCTACGGCAAGTGTAAGATTGAGTAAGCCCAATGCAGTGGAAGTCCATGCATTGCTGAAGTTGCATGGCCGTCTGCACATGCTGCCGAGTTTCAACTGGCCTTGATCCACCATCGACGCAACCTCAGGGTGTGGGAATTATAGGGCCCTCAGAAATAACTTCATTATAAGAGGATTCATATGGGATATCCTTAAGTTTTGCTTATGTGCTTTCGCGGGGTCCCATTTTAAATGTCTGCGGCGTTTTGGGTCTCCACTGTGGTGAACTGCCCCTTTTTGGCCGCCTCTGGATGGACTACGTAGGAATGTTTCAACATGGCTGTATTCCGGTATTTCTGTGTAACGCCACAATATCAGCTGCCTACAATTCCAAGACCGTCTGACGGACTACGGCATGAGTTACCGTTCTGACTCCTGCATGATTGAGATGATAAGTTTGACGTGCATCTTCATGGGCCCTCTGTATCCAAAACAACTCAAACGATGCTGCTTGTGCCCTAACCCTACCACCCTCAAACCGTTGATGCCAGGTGGCAGCATCAATCTTCGTGTGTTCGGAACAGCTCCCGACGCAGGTGGGCGCATACTGATGCACGTCTGGGCGACGCAGCCTCGTCGAAAGCGAAGCTTTTCCTCCCTGCAGGAGCCTCAACTGAGCATCATCAAATCCTCGCCCTAACATGAATTGAATCATAAACCCACCGTAGCTTCAATTCAGGCTAGTCTGCTTCTTGCGGGTTCGAGCACTTGGCATCAACAACATGCCCCTCTGAGCGTGGGACGTAACGAAGCTCCCGTGCTCCTTGATGATCCCATATGCATGGTCTCCCGTACCATCCATGCCGACACAATCGTAGACCACATCAACGGACTTCGGCAAGAGGACATCATAGTAGTTCTGCTTGTGGTAGTCCTCAGAAAGCTGGGCTGGAAACCCAAAGCATCCAGCCCGACACCCCTGCAGACAGCATATGATCTAACATTATTATCTTAAGTTGTATCACATTTGCTATATATTAGATCCACGCCACAAGGCACTTGTAGCACATTCATTTAAGTGCCAAGGATGCTGACTGGACAAGGGCTCAACTGATGAATCTATAAATGAAATCCTAAATCTTTGTCATCTTCGTTTTTACGCTGAGAGAGTTCAAGGTGTCGGAGGTAGAGCTGGAGAGAACACTATGCGCTTCCAAACTACGCGGCCCTCATTGGTCCACCATAAAGATCCTGAGCCCCAAACAGGGGAGAGGGTGCCAGGCTCTCCCTTTATCCTGGAGCATGGACACCGAATTCAAATCGCTACGTAACCCCAAGCTTTTAGCAGCATATGGCGGCCTTACGAATTTGAAAGGGGTTCTCCGGGTGAAAGATAATATAGTTATAATACGGAACTATGGACCCTTAAGGAACCCCTAGGACATTCTGTCGTCCGAGAATCGATGACCTGATCTGCGCCCAGCTGTCGGACAAAGCTGGAATGAGTGTCCGAGCAAGTGGTGATGACCCAGGCAGCACCCATGGCCTCACGAATCGCTCGACAGTCGACATGTCCTTGCCTTTTCCGTGAGGGGGCGGGGGGCGGGCGGGAGGGGAGTTCCTCACTGAAGCCCCATGAAGTCCCGACTAATTTTCTTGGAAGTCGATCTTTAAAATGAATCTATGCATACCCACTCCTAAGCACTACGTCCCCAAGGACCGGCAATAATCGCTGCGGGCTTGTATGTCTTGAACCGTTCCAGACATTACGGGACCCTGTTTCTGATATAGCTTCGAAATTCCAAGGCTGTTCTATGAGGATCCCTGAATAAGGCATGCCTGCCTTTCTGAACTGCCTGTTTATAGCTGTGTCGGGCGTTTGCAATCCTGGCCTTTGCTAGCTGAATGCCCAAATGGCCAGTGCCACCGCCTCAGATCGATAAGGGAGGACATGGGAGTTTCAGAAGACAAGGGAACCAACGTACAGACCAAAGCGTAGGACTTTGTTCTAACGACCCTTAAAAGCGAATCCAAAATGATGGAAAGTGCGTACAAACCGAACGAGTGATACTAAATTTAGCAACAAGGGCAACAGCATCATTATCATCAGCTTCTTCTCCATTCTCACGATAGTGAGCCGTTTCAGGTTGTTCCGGAACTCTCAGCGTTACTGAAAGGATCAAGCGACTCATTAAGAAAAGGCTTGAAGTACAGTATTGGATGATATAGGCAAGTCAAGCACAGCCATCCTTCAAGCAGTCTCGTAGAGCCACCTTATGCCCCAATGTCAAAATTGCCAGCAAGTTTCTTCCACCGAGAACCAGCACGGTGGTGTTCGTGCTCCTCGCTCAATTTTTCTTCTGCTAGGTTCCCCAGTAGCCCTTTTGTAATTAGCCCTAAACCCCAGACCCTTTTTCCTACTATTCGGATTTAACCAAGAGCTGAAGCTAAGTCTGGCTTCTTCTTAAGCGGCAGCTCGGACATACGACTTGGGCCGATTCGGGTGAGAAGTTTGTGGGTGAGGATTTGGGCTGCAGGGCGGAGCTTAGGATTTTGGTCTGTGGGGTCTTGCACCCTTCATGCCACAACCTAACCGAGAACTTGCCAAAGCAGGGTGCCGTCCTGCGCAGGCCGCTATTTGCAGTGTGCGGTTACAACAGTTGGGGTCGAGAGCTTGCAGAAGGCTGCTTCAAAAACAGGTGTGCAAACAAGGGCATGGCTACTCACAACTTGTGGAAACAAGCTTGCGCAAGCTTGCAAGCCGGCGGCCGAAAAGCATGAACTGTTTCTGCCGCCTTCTCTCTCATGTGCTTGTCCTGCAGCTTCAGATGCCATGCGCAAGAACGTTGCGACAGACTCAACCTACACATGCACGGCATAATTCATTGCTCATGTACACACTTGCCGAATGGTGAATAATAATGATGATATTGACGTTGATTTCATTGCACGATTTCGTACCATAGGATGCCGATGTGCACGATGCGTAAACATGCTGACAGGAGAAACATCTAAAAACTTTTCGGCTTCTGCCGATTCCGAACACTTGACTTCGTGTGTGGCACTGATCACACTATCGCCCATGAACCCTGGTTGTCAGGATCGCGTTCGGGCTGGGTGTCAGCTGCGATCATCCTCTGAAGCACAGCAACTTGCTGGTGAGCTTCCGGGCGGTGTAGCATGTTCAGCACTCTCGCGGCCCTGTCCACCTGTCGGTCCCTCTGTTCCTCTTGCACATTGGCTCTATGGCGTTCCTCTTGCAACGTGTGACTGTGCCGCTGGGAATCACGATAAAGAAGGAGCACGCCACAAAAAAACACCACAACCACAACGCAAAGAATCCAATTTGTATGAGCCTGGTGGTGAAGTCCCTCCACTTGCATGGTCGTTTGGCTGGCCAGCTCCTGTTCCCCGCGACGAGCTTGAACATCGAGCTGGTGCTCTTCGTGAAGCGATTGTAGCTTCTGAGTGTGTTCGGCATGGATGCCTCTGTAGATGCAGTACGCAGCACCCACAAGCAATGGGCTGGCGCAGATGAGCTCTGCCCCAAGCTGTTGCTGAGACGCTGCCGTCTTAGCCTCAAACTCTGCCTTCCTTGTTTCTTCATGTGCCTGCTCCACTCCTGGCTCGGCAAGACTGAACGATGTCCACGCACCACCGACAAACGCCGTAATCGCACACACCAGGATTACGCCAATGTCGAGAACCATAGCGTGAGATCTGAGGGTGGTTGAGCCCCGGCAAACTCGCAGAACAAAAGGCTGCAGGACGCGATGATATGATTTCATCTGCAACTAGCGGGCCGTGGGCATTGTGAGTGCTGCCGGACGGTGTCGGTGACAATGCTTCCGATGCAGCTCAAGCCCCAAGGCAGTCCTAAACGCCTTAGCCCTACAGTTCTCAACCTGTCAAAGTCTCCATCCTACCAAACTCCAAACTCCAAACGTCCCATCCCTCAAACCGTACACACCCTTGAAATCCCCATACAACCTCTTAACCCTGCCCTTAAGCCCTAAACCATAAAGCTCGGCTTTAAAGCCCCAAGCCGTACCCCTCCCGAAGCTCCGAAACTTCGCCGCGCCCGCCGCCCACCGAAGCGACTCGAGTCCCGTCAGAGCCACCATAGGCATGGCCCCGGCCTCCAGCATACCTGGGGCTTGGGTGTAGCCGCAACACTGAATATGAATAAATATTGGGGCCTTAATAACAACAAGTTCAATAAGTGTTGGGCAGTGTTGGGGGTAATATTTTACTATAGCAAGAACAAGGAATTCCGACCTCCACTTAGGCGCTGAGATAAGAGACCAAGATGAAACAGGCAATGCATTCATGCCCAATAACCGAAACTACAGAGAGGGACTTCAAACAAGTCTTTTCGTGGGGAGCCATCTTCAAAATGCCAACGCACTCAACAGAAACCCTTTAAAAAAGCTTACCACATTGATATAGGGTCTTTTTTACTTATAAGTACTATTCCGACGTGATGTTGCTATGAGGGCCCCTACGTTACTATGGGCGCCCTGCACGGTCCAGGGCGTAACATCTCAACATCTAAACCCTAAAACTCTAAAAACCCTCAACCCTAATCCCCTTTTCCCTAAACGCTAGACCCCCAACCCTGGAGGGCTTAAGGTTCGAGGTCACAGCTTCCTGGCCGGGCGGCTTAGCGACTTCGGCTTCAAACCCAAGACCGACTCCTCGGCTTTTCAATAGGGTTTGTGAGTTTTGGCTTAAGGTGTGAGGTTTTGGGGTTTAGGGGTTTTGGGTTTAGGGCTTCAAGGTTTGGGGTGGGTTTTGGGGTTTGGGGGTTTAGGGCTTTGCGGGTTTTGGGGTTTAGGGCTTTAGGGGTTTGGGGATTAGGGTTTAGAGGTTAGGGTTTGAGGTTTTGGGGTTTAGGGGTTTTGGGTTTAGGGTTTAAGGTTTGGGGTGGGTTTTGGGGTTTGGGGGTTTAGGGCTTTGCGGGTTTTGGGGTTTAGGGCTTTAGGGGTTTGTGGGTTTTGGGTTTAGGGTTTAAGGTTTGGGGTTTAGGGTTCAGGGTTGAAGGTTTGGGGTTTAGGGGCTTAAGGTTTTGGGGTTTAGGGTTCAGTCATTAGATTTGGAAACTAGGCAGTTGTAGGGTTCATATAGTTTTCGGGGGTTTAGTTATCCTATAGGGAACCCAAAAGGTGTAGGGTTCATTAATATAGCTTTAGGGGGATTAGTTCTCTTGCATCAGGAACCAACAAACAAAAAACTAAAAACAAGCTGTACCAGTGAAGAACCCAGACTCAGAGACGACTGCATACTGAGCGTAGGTGCCGGCAGTGGTGAGGGATTCCATCAAAGATGTGGCCTGGGTGACCCCACACTCCGAGCCTTAATTTCAAGACAAAACAAGCCTTACCTCATTTTTGTCCGCATATTTTTTCCTTCAGAGGGTTAAAGACGCACCTTTAACCCCAAAACTCCCTCATTCCCTCGACCCGAAACACCTACACCCTGAACCCCGGTAGTCTGCTGCCCCTAAACCCTATGCCCGCACCGCCAGAGCCCAACACCCCTACGTCTCCGTAAACACGCAACTGAAAACTTAAAAATCCACAGGCTAGGATGCCCAGTAACCTAGGAATAAAATGGGCTCCCTTTTTGGTATTGGGCACCTTTATAAGGAACCTGGACTACAAAAAGGGAATAAGGGTACTACTTGGCATCCTAGAACACGCGAAAGAAAACTCAAAGATCCACAGGGTTTAGGGTTTAGGGTTTAGGGCATCCTAGCAGGTTGCCTCGCCCCAGACTTCGTCGCCCGGCTTGAGACGCTCGCAGCCAGCGCCCAAGGTCTGAACGACGCCCGCCACGTCGTAGCCCAGCCTGGAGGAGATCTGGTCCCAAAACCCTAAACCCTGAACCGGTTTGAGGCATAAGGTCCCTCGAACCATACTATAGCGACCTAGGAGCCCGACTAAGGTACCTACAACTTCAAATAAACTCCGCACAGCACCTGGAATTTCATGCCACACGGCAAAAAGCTCGAAATGCCCGAAGCCCCGACATACCTGTAGCCCGAAGCAGCACATTACTAGAAAGGCATAGTGAGTGCAGTACGAAGAGCAAGACTATGCCATAATTATGCTACTCCCTCAGAATGAGCAAACGAATACAATCTGCCGCAACAGTGTTCAAAGCACTGTAAAGCACTGCAATCATGTTGGAGCTACAGCGAAGCAGCCCCTGTAAACCAAATTCCAATATTCCCAAACCCCGCCATAAACCCTAAACCCCAAAGGAGCCAAAGAACTTGTGGGGATAGCTCCAGCTCCAGCCAGCCAAGCCGACGATCTTGTGATCAACCTTGAGATTCAGGTGTAAGGTTCAGGCATTCGGGCTTAGGGCTGGAGTTTGGGATTTTGAAGCTAGTAGTTCAGGGGTCAGCGCTTATAGTCTCGGGTCTAGGGCTGAGTGTAGCCTGTTTTCGAGGGTTACAATCCAGTCTTATGAGGTCGTTTCGTGTGCCCATTGTATACTCTCTCGGCCTCTATAAACTCTCGCTGTCTTGCTTGCGTTGGACAGTCCGATCGTGTCTAAGATGTCAGGTCTCGTAGGGGTTTTAGTTCAAACCCTACACCCTAAACCCTATATATATATACACACACACACATTTTTTGTTGAGCCTTTCTTTCAGGGTTCACGCCCTCCGGCTTTTTGCGGGGCCTTGAGGATCAGGCGCTTCAAGGTTTTTCCCAGTCAAGGAAGTTTGGGCATTGGTGACTTTGGGAGAGTTTCTTCTAGGGCTCCAAAAAAGCACATACGCAAAGATTAGGATAGGGATATCCCATATAAACCCCCTTATAATGAAGCCCAATAAGGTAGGGATATCCCCATAACATGCTTATGCTTATGTGCTTTATGGGTCCCTAATCTTCGAGCCCGAAACCCCACACTGTTGAAGCGGCGGTGTTCTAGGGGCGGGGTACGGTTTAGGGTTTAGGGTTCCAGGTTTCGGACGTGACGACACCGTAAAAATCACCATATCGCCTGAACAAGCTATATTTCTCGAATCCCGCTGTATGGCTGGTGAAATGACTTCTTGATCAGCTCTACATTGCCTTGGTACGGCGTTCTCGCGAAATCTAACTCTATTGGCCGAAGCTCTAATTACTAGGAAAGCCCAGCTAGAACCAGAACAGGTGCGAACCCATAGACTCCAACACCCCCATAGGCCCCTGAGTTTAAGCGATTTACCTTACATCTTGCAAGGGTTCTTCATATGACTCGAAGTATCTACTTGATGCATCCTCTGCAAAGATTCTTCGAATGATATTCATGGTTTCCTCCTCAATACAAAGGGGTTCTGTGCCGAGATGCAGGGTTGATGTTTGAAGCGAAGACTTTCACCAGCACTTCCCCGCGGCCCGGCGTTGGGATGTCCTCCGAATCTTGCTAGGTAGACTGTAAACCTCAAGCCCAAACCCCCATAGCAGGAAACCTGAACATCGATAAGCCTAAATTAAATCCTATACGCCGTCTCTAAACCTTACACCAGGCTCAGAGTGTAGGGCCTTGGGCTTTGGGGCTTAGGGAGTTCAAAACAATAAAGTTCGTTTCAAGGATCCGGTTAACAACTTCAGAACTCGAGACTTGAGGCCACAACCCGACTGCAGGCAAGTCGCCACGTCGATCACTTCCTTAGCTCATGCCCAGCTGCTTGCATCAAATCTACAGACGCAGCCTTTTCCGAGACTGGTGGAAGACTTCTAGGAGCTACGCAGCGAAAGGTTTCAAAGGTTGGGGAATAGGATTTTGGGGCGTTTTGGGCCTCTTAGTCAAACAAGATGCCCAAGTCCATCCTAAACCCTAAGCTCTAAACCCTAAACCCCTAAACCCTGAACCCCTAAGCCCTAAAACCCTAAACCCCTACACCCCCGAAGGAATATACACCCTAAGATGCCCAAGTTCATCCAAGCTTCGACCTTGTCCAAGTGGAACTGGAGATCCCAGCTGCGGTTGCTGACTACTGCAGCCCGCATCTTTTCGGCGGATCCCATCCTCCCGGCATTCGGGGGTTTCCGAAAACGCGGGACCCGAATATAGAACCCTAAATAGTAGGATCCTTATTAGAAGGATCCCAAAAACAAGGTACCCCTTATCTTCGGAAATTCCCACCTTGGTCGAGTCTAGAGCTGCAACTTATTGATTTAGGGATTACAAGGGGAGGGGCGCAGCGTTGAGGGGTTTTAGGCTGTTGGGCTTGTTTCAGAACTAGATGCTTTCAACAACGGCATTGCCAATGCGAAGATGCTGTCCTCGGCCATAGCAGGAATGTCAGGCAGAGCCACTGAGACAGCGCCATCAGAAAACCTGCTTCTAGAACTGGGCCGCTGGTGTTCCGCAAACTCGAGCCGCTGAGCAGGTTGAGCGGTTAGTTCTGTCATCGCCTAAGGAAGCTTCATAAAGGAACTCAACAAAAGACTGCCAAATAATGATAATCATAATGGTAAGGAGCCTTGCTATATACTCTGCCACAAGACGAACCAAAGTCTCAAAGAAGCCCCCTGCCATGCTGGGAATACTCACAGCAGTATATGGTCATAGCTGGCAAGACTCCCCACGTTGCTCAACAGCTCTGTCTGTTCCGCTGCTGAGCACATTTCCCTAAACCCGAGAACCCTAAAACCTTCCAAGCCCGAATTGTGAGCTTTCTGCCTTCTCAACCATATGGCTTTAGATGTTAAGTTTCCGTGCGAAAAAACAATAAGTTAACCTTTCACTAACGTAGGCTCCTGGGTACCCAGACGGGGTAATAGGACGCATACTCAGCTACACAGTTTACCCAGAGAGCCCACCCCACCCAAATTGTCGAGGGCTGCTTATCATGGTTGAAGTAACATTCTCCAGTGATGGGGGCGTGCCGGTACAGATGTCCCGCCCCCTTTGTCGTCGGTCTCCGATGGAGAGTTTTAGAGTCTGGAAATCCGGGGCATGCCTCGCCAACATCTGGGTGAAGATCGCCCACCTGAGCTTCATACGAACTGGACTAAGGTTTTAATATGACTTGCAGCGATTTCAACACATAGCTTTAACAGGCCTTGATCACAAGGTTGCCTTCACACGCCAACCAGGCAGTAGACTTTCTATAAATGGTGAAAACGTACGCACCTCGGAGCTCGCTCCGCCCAAGGTCTGGGACCCTCCCCCCTTTGTATGGCTTGAAAGGATTACGGCTATCCTTTAACTGGGCACCCTAAAGCAAAATCATGTAAACCTGAATTCCCAAACCCCTGAACCCTCCCACGAGCCCGAAATCCACCAAACAATGTCTCCCTTCACCAGGGCTCCAAGAGATGCTTTCGCGAGCTCTGGGAATTCGGGTGTGTCTTAGGCTCGGATTGGGAGTCTTTGGGGCGTTTAGGGTTTAGGCTCTTTGGGGTGTTTAGGTAGCTTGTCTAAGTTGTGCTAGAGGCTACAGACAGGACTGCCATCTTGATGAAAAGGCATGCCACAGAGTTTACCTCCAAGGAGCCTAAAGCACGAACCCTCTCAACCCTGAACCCCAAACATCTCCAAGGCCCTCAACCCTTAAACCCCTAAAACCCTAAACCCTCAAACCCCCAAACCCCAAAAAGCCTAAACACCCTAAGCTTCGAACTTCTCCCTCGTCCGAGGGCAGAGCGTAGAGTGACGCAAACTGCAAGCCGTTTGAACTGGCCGGTGGTGGCGGTGCCGTCATCTCCTTCTGGGCGAACTGGGTTTAGCGTTTTTTGGGGTTGAGATGTTGAGGGTTTAGGGTGATGGTTTCTGGCATGAATCGGCATGAACTTTAGAACGAGGTTTTAAGGCGTCGTGCCGGGGGTTTTGGCCCAAGCATATAGGCAGAGGGTCTGAGAGGAATGGGTGTGGGCATAGGGTTTCGGGTATGGGTCAGAAGGCCTGGAGGCGCAGGGTTCAGGAGGGTTTGGGGTCCAGAGTTCAGCGTCGTCGCTTTTTGAAACTTCCCAAAACTGCAAAAAATCAAAACAGGGCGAACAACTTCTGGGTGTAGTGTTTTGAGACATGGAACCTGAGCACCTTCTTGTTTTAACCTTCCAAGGTTTCAGGGACCAGGGTTTCAGTCCGAAAGATAAGAGCCTAAACCCAAACACAGAATATTCTGGGTAGAGCTCAGCTCTGCTGTTTTCTGCTGAAAAACTTTCAACACGTAATAGAGGAGCTAGCGAGGGAAACCAGGAAAAGGTAGTTGACCCACCACTGCTTCAAAACGGGGTGCTCGTTTTCCTTACTTGGCCGTACTCTTGAAGCCTAATCCGGCAAGCTTGCACTTCAAAACCCTTCTGAAACCTGACACGCGATCCAACCAGCCAGACAGTGTTTGCGACGATTCTATTGTTGAACATGCTTGGATTCTACATTCTTGCAGTCCTCCGCCCTGCATTCTAAATCCAACCCTTCACTGGCCCCCAAACTTTAAGTTCTTTAAAGCCCATCCCCTGCGCCCTAAACCCAAAACCCAGCTCCTCTGTGCTGGCGATCGGATCTTGGTCAAAAGACTTTGGTAGGGGCACGCCAGGAGGTCCTTCGCCAGAAGACTGGAGGTCGCTTTAGGGGTCAGGGTTTAGGGTTTAGGGCTCATCGTCATGATCGTCATCGTAGCCATCATCACCGCCACCACCACGACCATCATCGTCATCATCACTGTCATTTCCGTTCGAGTTGAGAACCTTCGAGCAAACAGACAACGTGAACTGCTTCCATGCTAAAGCGCTGATTGCAAACACCCTTCCAGCAAGTCTCCCCATACGCCAAAACGGATGTTACCACTTCTTGGCCGACTTCTGAACCCCTCCTAAGAGTTAAACTTTATGGTCCCAATGGAAACCCAGACCCCAAAAAGTTAAAGTCCCAAGAGCCAACCAGAAGAACGCCAAGACTTTATGGGCTAAGATCTGATATAACAAACTCCTGTTGAAAGGGTTTATGGTTTAGGCTCAAGTGTAAAATCCTTTAATTAATGGGCGTAGGGCATTCTGCCAGAGGGAAGCTGCGAAAGGAACAGATCACTTGGGCAAAGAGGGAGCCTAACTGTAAGAAGCTCCAGCTTCGTGCTGCATGCCGTGTAGATGTCTCTTACCCAGAGAGTCCAATACCCCTTATTTAAGGAATATACTTCAAATTAAAATAAGAGCCCTAATCTGATTTAAGGTATATTCCTTAATTAAGGGGTTTTGGAGTCTCTGGGAAACCCGTAACTTAGGCCCTAAACCCTAAATCCTAAGCTCCACGTTCATGCCGTGAAGGCGTCCCTAACCCCCGGCCTCCCAAACTTAGCCCGAACTCGACCGAAACCTGAACCGGCAAATCCGAGCCCATTCGAAAACGGTACACTCCTCATGAAACGGTTTAAACGACGGAATGAATCGGTATAACGCCCTGCAAAAGACGATCTGGGACTCCGGCTGTACTCTGGCTTCTTGGTCGTGCCCCGAGAAAACTAAGACATATAAGCTATATACAACTGAGCATGAACGGATAGCTGCGGAGCTTCGCGCTTCAGGGAGCCGAGCGTAGGAGTTCAGAGTTTTGGGGTATGTATTTAGTTGTTTGAGGGGGGTTGAGGGTATTTAGGGTTTGCACTTTAAGGTTTTAGGGTTTCGGGTTTCAGAGGTTAGGGTTTTGGGGTTTGGGGTGTGAAGTGCCATGCATCCCCCGACTTCCCATCCCCTCCCTTGCTTACTCAAGTATCCTGTTGCACCTAAGCGTCAAGACCAGTCCTGGGGTAGGAATGTGGCGGTTTCCGAAAATAGGGGACCCTAATATAGTACCCTAAATAGTAGGATCCCTCTTATAAGGACCCGCAAATAAGGTTCCCCTAATTTTCGGAAACTCCCATGTGGGTTCTGTAGTACACAAGAAGACACAAGTCTAAATCTCAGTTCCATAGTAGCTCCCATACACTGGATATTCAAAGACAGTATACTTACTCCAGAACACAGCAGCTAACTGCTACATGTCGGGGCTTGGGGCTTGGGGGGTGTTGAAGGACAAGGGTGTAGGGTTTAGGGATAAGGGGTGCTGGGTGGGCTGCTCTTGTCGACCACGAGGCTGCCGGATGACATCCAAGGAGGGCTGGACAAGATCTTTGGGCTGAATGTTTGGGTTGAGCAGGCACGATTTCGAGATGTCTGGGGTTCAGGGTCTAGGACTAGGATTTAGGGCTTCAGGGTAGTTTAGGGCTGAGGGAATTTTAGGGGGCAGCTGGAAAACAACGATTCCAAAGACATACCATCCTCAACGTAGGGCTGCGCCCCTTTCTCGTCGCAACTTCACGGACGGCGCATTCTCCGTTCTCACGTGTTGTGAAAACGGTCTAGTGCATTGAGAACCTACATGCTAGCCGGAGTCCACCGCAAACTAAGGCAACCCAATCCCTGCAGAGCTTACAATTACTTGGGGTTTAGTGGTTTTGTCAAAAGTTCCCAAGAACCTTGTGCCGAAACCTCGTTTCCTGTTGCATCTGGTGACCTAGAACCTGAGAGCCTACGGCCCAGACCCCCTAACTAAGCCAAACGGCGGCTGCTGTCGTCACCCGCCCGCGTTGCGCTCACCGTGGCGCCGCTCGAAGTGCGCCGAAAGCTTTTCCTGGCGGTTTACCCTGCCCAGACGAGTTTCCACGCTTGGGTTTCGACTAGACTTCTCGAGTAAACTCGGAAGGCCTGTATCGCTCAGAATTTCGGCTCTATTTCGACCTTCAACCCAGAGCACTGCACCCTAAACCCCATGCCCTGAAGATACAGGCTCCCCGTCGCGTGCAAGCGACTGTCGTACTTCCGCTTTTGCCAGTGCTGCTGCTGCCGCTACATCCCGAAACAGCGAACACCCTAAAACTAAAGCTGCAGGCCTTGAACTTGAACCGTCGTTTAAGCTGCGAAACCCAAACCAAAACCTGAACATCTAAAATGCTCATCCACCTGACGCAAGCAAGCCCTACAGACCCCACCATCCTGAAGATTTGAATCCCGAACTCTAAAACTATAAACCCCGGAACCTCCAACCCTTCTTCGTGAACCTTCAGCTAGAACCTGAGACCCTGATCCTTGATCCGTACGCTTTCTCCCAAACCTAGCATGTTCAAGTAAGCGCGCAAGCTCACAATGCGGAACCGACAAATGTAGGGCGGTTTGGAGAGCAGAGGGGGTTCCCAGGGCAGTTACATCTAGGAAATTCTGGTCGTACTTACATCTAGGAAATTCTGGTCGTGCTGCCTGAAACTCCCATTGCTCCTAACGACATGAAAGAGGTACGGGTAGTCGGCGCGGCTGTCGCTCAACCAGAAAGCAAACCTTATCAGAAGAATCT